ATGTGTATCGAGCACTATACGTTGCTAGTATTGCCAACTACATTTATTCATTATACATATATATATATATATTATATATATGTGTATATATATATATGATTCGATATTAATTAATACATTTATAGGCCTAAATTATTAAACTTATATTTATTATTCATTATGTAGGTTTACTTCATAGCGGAATCTGCCATGCGTTGAATTTAATTTCTTAAATCGCAATAAACAATATCACACACGTTACGTCACAAGTTAAACAAAAAAAATACAAGGTATTTCCTAGAACTAATTTATTGTCTGAAGCCATTACTTAATAAAATTCCGAATAACAAACTGCAATTATAAAACATGAAATACAAACACAATAATGTATTGTGTAAAAAATAAATTAATATTAAAATCATACCGATGACTTTTGTGAAAGATGAAGTTCACAATATAAAATCTATGGAACTATGCTACCAAGGAGATATCAATACCTCATTGATGCTACTAATACAATCGATTTATTTATATTGTAAATTAGTAACAATTTACAAATACGTAAGCCCAACTACAAAATACTGTATAGAGGTAAGTAGCCTATATCTATGAAGCTAGTCATCTGACACGTATGCTACGTATTCCTCAAGACACATCAGTATCAAACAATAAAATCAAGATGTAAAAATCAAAAAGCCCAAAAGACCATAACAAGATAAGAAACGTTCAGATATTGTAAACAGATGAATAAATGGAAGAAGACATATTAATAAATAAAATGTTTAAATTACGCGATGGAAAATATAGACTGGCCTACTGTCTGTTTTAAAAAACGGAAACCCCTAAAAAGGAACAACTTTCAATCGGTCACAGATCGAAACTTTTATGTTCTAAGATGTTTTCTTGATCTACTTTTGCTTAAAAGCTAATAATATATATATATATATATAAGTATATACATATATATATATACAAACATATATATAGGCCTATACAAATATATGTACATACATATAATACTTTGTATGTATGAATACATGCAAAAAAAATAAAATATTTAAAAGTTTATTGTCTCAAAACAGAGAGTACGGATACCTATAAATCGACTTCCAATTAAACAGGGTCGATAATTTTAATTGTTGCATATATTTTCAGAATATGAACATGATGGCAATGAAAAATCTGCACACAAGAGTGAGTGAAGTTGACTTACTAGTATGCAGAAGAATGTAATGCTCCAATGGATTGGTGCGACCTCCCAGAGAATGTCTGCTAGAAAATTTGCCTTGAACTTGACAGCAAAGAAGCGAATCTTCGTGACTGGCGGGGTTTTATAGCTGAGCAACTTAATATTGGTAGCAAAGTAATTGAAAACTTAGACAGTCCGGTGGAAAAATGCATGCGGCAAGTGTCCGGGGGAAATGTCCGGAGGGGATGTCAGGGGGAAAGCAGCCTGCTTGCCTTTAGACCATGTCAGTCCCTGGTGAATTTTCGCAAGAACCTTGGCAAAAAAGTAGCAAAACTCGAATCAGCCTGTCTAAATGTGAAGCCATACATAAAATCCCAGTAAAATGCAGGAAAGAATTCAAATGCTTGGCAGATTTAACATTTTCACAACATTAATATATGCTAAAATTGGGTCTTTATATTTTATGGAGATTGCGAAAACGTGCACGTGTGGAACCAATGTTCCAAGCCTTGCTGATTCAGTTCGACATTATTACTTTTTGGAGAAAATAATTTAAAAATATATTTATATTGGAATTCTTTTATTTAAAAGTATCATATTTTGAAAAATAAAAATGTTATAGCATTTTCTACCCCAAAAAATCTTCCTGTATTAACTATAACATACTTGGTTTCAATGGATAAATAATTAATCATCTAATGTTATACTTTATTTGATGCTGGATTTGTGATTACAGTTGAACAGTTAGTAGCATTTTCTGTGTGAACACACAAAGGCTTACTTGAGAATTTCTGAAGATATTTCCAGTGTAGTACTTTGAATGGGGCAGTATACACCGGGAGAGAATCACATGTTCTTTTCTAAAGGGCATACTGCATTTAAAACGTGCACACGGGAGCAACGGTCTAAATGTCTCTTCTGAAAAACGTTGCGTATATTATACTGGTACTTGCATTTCAGCCGTTCGATTGAGAAGAGAATAATGGAGCTGATGACACAGGTTAATTTTTAAAAGATCTTAGTTCAGCACACACTCAGTGACTACCACCAATTTAGCGGGACTTATCTATCAGGTGCTCTCAATCAACAGCAATAATGGTTGCATAGAATACATAAAAGAAGGCAGACGATAATAGCTTTGCTTTTGATATTTAATTATATTTTCTGCGTATGGGATTTTGTAGTAAATTCTTGATAATTATTTATCGAAGAGAACTTGGTTTCTGTGTAGAAATAATATGCTACCAGTTTTAGACCTATAATTAGCCGTTTCGAATCTCATAGCTACCAAACAT